TCCGTATATTTCGTGACTTGTCTTATTTTATCGTTTCTTCGAGTGCTTTGCAAATGAGGTTTATCGATGACTTTTCTGTTCCTCCTCTTTATTTATTTTATATTGGAACCAAATTTTTCGTGTGTGTGTGTGTGTGTGTGTGTGTGTGTGTGTGTGTGTGTGTGTGTGTGTGTGTGTGTGTGTGTGTGTGTGTGTGTGTGTGTGTGTGTGCGCGCGCGCGCATATGCACGCGCTTGTGCGTATGTGCGAGAGATATTTGAACTATTTTTTTCCCCCGAATCTTCCATTCAGTTTCATGAGTTGTTTGACAATATATCCTGCTATTTTAGGGGGAAAAACATTGAGTGAGAATGGTCACTTGTTCCACCATCGCTAATGAGTCGTAGTTACTGATCCCTCCGTGTGATGTTGGCATTTTTGAGATGATACTGACAAAAATATCAAATGATCACATGTAGCTTTGTTCCGACTTTCCGTCGTTTCTCGTATATTTCAGTTTTTTTGCGTATATGAGAGAGTTTTATGGAGGAGATGTGCTGTAACCAAACATGCTGATGAAGCGGCTGACTTTTTGATGATTCGTAATCATCACCCCATAATGATAGTGATGATTATGGAAGCTGTAACTTTGCGAGGGCACATATTCAGCCTCATACTCGCTTAACGTTATACTTTAAATCACATAAATACACTTGCTTCCTTAACTGGTTTGCTCGCTAATTAGAACCGGTTATTGGATATTAATATCTTAAGTCATTCGTTCTCTTTTTCGCAAGTTGACTACGACCTTTCTTAATGGGAGCCGGTCGGCCGAGCGGACAGCACGCTGGACTTGTGATCCTGTGGTCCTGGGTTCGATCCCAGGCATCGGCGAGAAACATTGGGCAAAGTTTCTTTCACCCTATGCTCCTGTTACCTAGCAGTAAAATAGGTACCTGGGTGTTAGTCAGCTGTCACAGGCTGCTTCCTGGGGGTGGAGGCCTGGTCGAGGACCGGGCCGCGGGGACACTAAAGCCCCGAAATCATCTCAAGATAACCTCAAGAATGACTTATTGGTCTCTTCAAGCAAGGGAGAAATAGTGACTTTTCTTAATTAGATTTAAATATTGAAGCAAAGGAAACAACTACTGAATACAAACAGCTAGATATTTAATAAAACAAAAGAATTGTTAGAGAAAGAATAAAACCGGTGAAATTACTTTAAATCACAAGTACAAGTTTATTTAAAAACTCGTTACTTTAAAAAGTATCTCACTGTTGAATTATATCTACGATAATAAGGTGATTACAGAACATGTGCGGAAGATTAGGCAACAGGTGTTCACTATAATAATATATGTACTGTATTACACACAGAAATCACAATAGCGTGATGCATCAAATGAACAAATCCACAAGGGCCGTGACGAGGATTCGAACCTGCGTCCGAGAACCTCTCGGACGCAGGTTCGAATCCTCGTCACGGCCCTTGTGGATTTGTTTATATGTACTGTATATCACATATAAAATACACAAGTCTCCCAATTCCTGGTATCTTAAGAGCAGTCGCTACACTACCCAGGCATATGGTCAAGCCAGCCCCGTCCCCTTAAGATTCCCCAACGTCAAGAAACTGTCGTACTAAAGTGCCCTTATCCTAGCCTACCAGAGGACCCAAAACAGAAAACGGGGACAGTATGTCAATTTCGCGAGCCGCTTTCATTTTCTAGTACGTCAGTTTTTGGCCTTAAGTAAAATATCTCAGAATGTGATATTTTAAGAAGGACGGGTTGGATTAAGCAGTCACTTGAATGCTTAACGCTTGTCAAAACTGACTGACCGGGCTATGGTGAGCCTCCTTACGGGCTCACCATAGCCCGTGCTACATGGACACTTCGTTCTGAGTAGCTAAATCTAAAACAACATGACTTCAAATTTATAAACGTAGGCCCTGTCCTTTCTGGGCTCACAACAGCTCCGCAGTGAGCTTTCGCAGTGCCTCTGAGTCCACTATGGGCTCACCGTAGCCCGTGCTACATGGATCTTTTGCTCCAAGTAGCTGAATCTAAAACCAAAACAACAATGCCTCTTTAGTAAGTTTACCAGTACAGAGGGACGTGAACTGGGGACTAGAACTAGTCCCCAGTGCATAGAAGGATTGGCTAGTAAGTTATCGCGTGCTATAAACCCCTTAAACACGTGTACTAGACGATTACTAGTACACTTGGGCCAGACAGATCGTACAAATAATAAATTTTCTTGACGAGTCTTCACCTCAGACTTCTGCCCCTCAAGTCCACAAAGTCTTCACCAAAGTCTTGTTGTGGACTTGAGGGCAGACTGAGGCTATCCTTACACACAGAAATCACAATAGCGTGATGCATCAAATGAAGTCGAAGTAAATTCAGTTAAATTTCTGGTTGCAATTCTTATACTCGGTCGCAGGTTCGAATCCTCATCACGGCCCTTGTGGATCTGTTCAGAGGCTATCCTCATTAACTCGGTAACCCAACCAAGTCTTAAGAGATCCTCCTCAGTTTGCAAAATTGACTTAGGACTTGAGAAGAGATGTTGTTTTTCCCACCTATTGTGCCTAGAACACTGTTCTTCAAGAATTGTTCGTGAAACATTAATTTTGTTCAAGAATTGTTCATTAAAAAGCTGGGTGTGTGTGTGTTATATAGTGATGGTGAGTATGATAGCGATGATGGTGATGTGATGATGATAATACATCACCTTCATAATTTGTAAATTTGTAGTATGATCGACCTTGAGAAGTTGCGCATTCAAATTATGTACGAACGCATGCGCCTATGCACACGCGCATGCACACGAGCCACGAGCGCACATGTCCATGCACGCGCGCGCGCGCACACACACACACACACACACACACACACACACACACACACACACACACACACACACACACACACACACACACACACACGCACACACACACACACACACAGGAATTCATACAATGTTCAAACGCGAATCATTTTCCAGGTAAACTCTCTATTTCTAATAATTAATAACCATTAATCGAAAATCATTCTTAAAGCCAGACGCTCACGGAACCCACTGTCCTCCTACGGTTCCAGGACCCGCCATGCAGTTAAACAAAAAAAAAATATCTGGTTGACAAAGCTATTCCGACCGGCTATAGAGAGAGAGAGATTCCAGTCGGCCGGCCGTTCTCATTAACTGAATCATTCTTTTTGTTCTACCCACCAGGCGTTTATAACAGAATAATAAATGTTCCTTTGTGTCACAATGCACGATTTCAATTACGTGTGAGCCTTTTGTCGGCGTGTGTGTCTCCTCAGCGCGTGTGTGTGTGTCCTCAGAGCGCGTGTGTGTGTGTCCTCAGAGCGCGCGTGTGTGTGTGTGTGTGTGTCTGTGTGTGTCCTCAGAGCGCGCGTGTGTGTGTGTACCTTGCCTGCAATAAAGAATTCTCAGCTCCTCCTTCACTCAGCACGCCTCCGACGCCAGCTGTGAACTCAGCTTACCAAATGAACACGTCCATAAACCCACATCAGCAGCCTCGGAACAGCGCCAGCCTAAAAATTACATGAATATCTTAAATTCGGCGTCCGACTCCAAAGGGGGCTCCTTTATGACTGCCTTCCGTCGTGCCAAAACGCATAATAAAACTCATAAAGCTAATTTTTCCTGATGAGATCCTGACGTGAGGACTTAGGCGAACATATGAAACGCATACGATTACAGCTCTCTCGCGTAGGGCGTCCCACGCCCGCTGGGGGCCGGTCGACGCCCGTGCACCGTGAGGTAACGCACGCCCATAGCTTCCCCGCCCACGAACTGGCGATGGAGTAAGAGTCTGGCAGTGAAGGGTTCGCATTACAGGGATCAGGGGGGTCCATGTAACGCGGCCCCAACAGTGAGAAGCGCATACGATTATCTTCCTGGATTTGTTCCCAGCGATGAAAAAGTTCCCCGGCCTGTTTGTTCGCCTCACTATTATATGTAAATGAGGTGAGGGGAGGGGGTTGTGTGTGTGTGGGGGTGATAAGGGGAAGGGCTGGTTGGGTAGGTAGGGGGGGAGGGGTTAGTATGATTGGGTTGAGGTTGGGGAAGACAGCAGACGATGGAAGAGGTAAGTGTGTGTAAGGTTTGGGTGGTGGTTATGACTCGTTTAAGGGGTAGAGTTGAACATATAAGGGCTGGATGGCCTCTTGAAACCCGGTCAAACCCGATCCTAGAAACACGGTCAAGAGGATGAGACCTTTTGAGCCCCTCTGTAATCCTTTTTTTGCGCTACCGCTCACAGGATGAGTATGGGGTGCACAATAAACTAGCTTCCCCCGGCTGCTACAATCAAGGGATAGGCAGGACTAGTTACCACATTAGGGTTTTTGGACGGTGGAAGGTGTGAAAGGATGAATGGCAGACGACTGGTTAGGAAAGTGACACTAAAAAAAAGAATCATAGTATAGAAGATTAGATATTGATGAATAAGTAGGGGGAGGGGTAGATCCAGCTTGAACAATGAAGTAAGAAAGGTGAGAAAACAGAAAACACTCAAGACGGTATGAATGACTTGAGGATCTAAGAGCACAACCCGTTCTCGCAAATTTAATAAGTCAATATTGACTTATTAAATATGTGCATAGGTGACATACTTAACATAATAGATACCCTTAAAAAGATTCATAGAAAACACCGACCTTACCTAACCTTGTTAGTATCTTAAGATAAGCATCTTATAGCTTCGTAATTACAATTATTACCTAACCTAAAGAGCAAGGGTCCGGGTAATGATGTGAAGAGACAAATCAGAAGGAAATCAGAGAAACTGGATAGGAAAGTTGCCAAAATAAGTGGCCCCATATACGTGAACAACCCCGTAATAAAATTCCAGGAAAGATGACCACTCAAGAGATGAGTAAAAAGACAGAAATGTTCTCAAGGAAAACCTAGAAAGCTAAAAAAATAAAAAGGAGAAAAACCGATCATTATCGGTAAAAAATGTTCCGATGCCTTGAAACCAAATCAAGGAATCCAGGAGGAGGCAAGCGCGGAGCTCCTGCGGAGTTCTGAGCTCCTTGAGACGGAGCTCCTCGAGACGGAGCTCCTCGAGACGGAGCTCCTCGAGACGGAGCTCCTCGAGACGGAGCTCCTCGAGACGGAGCTCCTCGAGACGGAGCTCCTCGAGACGGAGCTCCTCGAGACGGAACTCCTCGAGACGGAGCTCCTCGAGACGGAGCTCCTCGAGACAGAGCTCCTCGAGACGGAGCTCCTCGAGACGGAGCTCCTCGAGACGGAGCTCCTCGAGACGGAACTCCTCGAGACGGAGCTCCTCGAGACGGAACTCCTCGAGACGGAGCTCCTCGAGACAGAGCTCCTCGAGACGGAGCTCCTCGAGACGGAGCTCCTCGAGACGGAGCTCCTCGAGACGGAGCTCCTCGAGACGGAGCTCCTCGAGACGGAGCTCCTCGAGACAGAGCTCCTCGAGACGGAACTACAGCGATATTTAGCTGTGAAAAAAATTCCTGAACCTTGAGACAGAGTCGAGGAAACTAGACCACCTCGAGACTTCTCTCCGAGGACTCACCTGCCGGGAATAAGACATTAGAGGCTGCTGAACCTGCAAGTTGACGTGGGAGGCGTCCTCGCCACGCTCCGAGGACCAAGGAGCGGACCAAGGAGTCATGGTGCCGAGAGTGGGGAGGGGGGGAGGGAAGGGAAAGGTTGTTGGGGGCGTTAGTGTGGTTGCTGGGGGAGATGAAGGGGGGGGGGACCCGGGTTAAGATAGAGATAACCGACAAGAAACACGCGACCAGGAAGAGGTGATGATGGAAGGTTGAAAACAGTAAGAAATCAAAGATTAAAATATATAAATGGAGGGAGAGAAGGATAATGAGGGAATGGATGAGAGTGAGAGAGAAGAGAGAGAGGGAGGGAAAGCGAAGCTGAGGGGAGGATGTAGAGTACAAGTCAGTCCACTCGAGGGACTCAATTGTCGGACTGACTTTTGGGGTTGACCCAAATTATGACACTTAACAAGGGCAATCAATGATCAATCGCAAGAAAGTTTAATTACGTTGAAACTAGTCTTTAGACTTGTACAAGGAAAGTCAAGTTCTCTACTATAAGACAGTTTACAAGACGGCAGGACAAGCAGGGCTCCTAACTACAGAGCAGTTTACAACACGGCCCAATTTCGGTGACACAACTTCGGCACGAAATAGGAGCTTGGAGTCGAATTGTATAATGATTGTAATATTATGTTTAGTAAATCTCTAGGCGCCGTGATGAGGATTCGAACCTATGCGATGGGTGTTCCCACGCCCTAGTCAACTAGGCCACGACGTGGTCAAAAAGATGGCCACCTGGAGTTCTACAGAACTCATAAGGGTTTCCTGAGGCTTCCACTGAAGCCGGAACAGGATTTTCACACAATCCTCCCCCCCCCCCCCCCCCGCCCCAATGCACGCTGGCTGTTATCTAGGAATGTTCTACCTCTGATGCTTCTCTTTCAATACACAGAGAATAATCACACTAACGCGTGAAACTATTTTTCACTTTGTCCGGGTAATCTTGTATGCAGTCTTAGATTGTCTTTATCATCCTCAGAAGTTTTGTATCGTCAGCAAACACTGAGAGGAAGGAATCTATTCCTTCTGGTAAGTCAGGGAGCCGGTCGGCTGAGCGGACAGCACGCTGGACTTGTGATCCTGTGGTCCCGGGTTCGATCCCGGGCGCCGGCGAGAAACAATGGGCAGAGTTTCTTTCGCCCTATGCCCCTGTTACCTAGCAGTAAAATAGGTACCTGGGTGTTAGTCAGCTGTCACGGGCTGCTTCCTGGGGGTTGGAGGCCTGGTTGAGGACCGGGCCGCGGGGACACTAAAGCCCCGAAATCATCTCAAGATAACTTCAAGATAAGTCGTTGACCTTGCTTCAGAGTAAGGGTCGACCCCCTGAACTTCCTTTTGAGAATAGCTTGAGCTACCTCATCCCTTTGTGTGTATTTTACCTCAATAAACTTATTTCAATTTAAATTTCAATTTCCTTTTGTGGAACGCTGTTGCTAACATCACCTCACCACTCTTGAGGTCTGTTCTCTCTCACTTTTTATTTTTTGCTGCAGAGTTGCTCCTTTACTCATTGGAGTACCTTCGAGGTACCTTTCCTACCATTTCTGCTCGTTTCGTCCTCTTTTTGCACCAATCTCCCGTGAGGGGTACTGTGTCGAGGACTTTCTGGCAGTCTAAAAATATACAGCCCGCCCACTCTTCTTTATCTTTTCGTTCAAAGAATTATAGAATTTGTGGAAGATGTTTTACTATCTTGCTGCTTGTAATATTTGCTTTACCTGGCATGATATGGCAGTAAGGAACACAGGCCTGTAGTTTAGTTCATGGTGTCTATTTCCCTTTATATATATATATATATATATATATATATATATATATATATATATATATATATATATATATATATTATATATATATAATATATATATATATATATATTATATATATATATATATATATATATATATATATATATAATTATATTGACATCTGTAACTCTTCAATATGTTGGAATATATTGCCGCTTCCTCCTTGAAGTTGTAAATTTAAATCGTTAAGAATACTAAAAATGTAAATTAAGTCAATTTGCAAACCCAGATGTCATTTAAAAACAATTGGGTCAAGGTATTGTTTCTTTCAACTTCCCCCAAAATGTACGAATTACAGTTCCTAGCTGATACGCCCTGATACGTCAGTACCTTGCCTCGCGACAACCCTCCCAACGTTTGTGTGATAAAGTGACTATATTGAGCTCCAATATACTTTAAAATATTTTATTCTTTATATCTGAACATTTTATTCTAAAGTCTCTGAACAGAATACTTTAAAATATCCTCCCATTTAATGAGTTTCCTTTGATAAAATTGCAATGATGATTAATGAGTGCGAATGAGATTGAAGCTCTCACTTGCTTTTTCAACTCTTTACCCAACCACTTGGGGGAGCTGGACGGTAGAGCGACGGTCTCGCTTCATGCAGGTCGGCGTTCAATCCCCAACTGTCCGTCCACAAGTGGTTGGGCCACCATTCCTTCCCTCCTGGTCCCATCCCTAATCCTTATCCTGACCCCCCCCCCCTTCCCAGTGCTATATAGTCGTAATGGCTTTGCAATTTCTCCTGAAAGTAACATTCCCATTCACTTGCTTCTCCTTTGTGGATTTTCTCTGTATCGACCCAATTTTTTATTCATTTTGCAACCCACTAATAAATAGGTGGGTATTTAAAAATAAATAAAAACAATAAAACTACCAAATCACTCACATCTTTCCCTTTTATTTTGACGCTTCATCGACAACATGACACATTTAGGAACATGCACATGTGTCACAGGAGACACATGTGTACACGTGTGTGTCATCATATATATATATATAAACTTGCAACAAATTGCAGTGGGTGTGGTGTGAGGTGATAGAAATAATGACAGATGCCCAAAACAGAATAATGAAAACGGATGACAAACCGAAAATAATAAGAAGAAATAGCCTACCCAAAATAATAATGAGGATGGATACCAAACCCAAAAGCCAACTTAGAAACTGTGTTGCTTCGGTAATTACATTAATAACACAATTATTAAGTTTGCAGCACTTTATAATGTACAAAATCAATTTATTCTGCTCGCTGGGAGAGACGAGTGGATGTTATGGAACATGTGGAGAGCTGTGATGGCGGCACTGCTGTGGATATCACTGCTGAGGACATCACTGCTGAGAAAATAACTGCTTGATCCATTACTGGCGAAGACGTCATTGCTGTGAAAAAACTTGCGAGAATAGTATTCTTTAGGACATCACTGTTTGTGACATCACTAATAAAGACATCGCTGTTGAACGAGACTGCTGACGTCAATGATCCCAATTTGGTGTGTTTTTTCGGCGATTTGAAATGTCGCTACAAGCTACAGAAACTCACTACGTTGGCAATACTGTCACTACTTGCTGAACCAATTACTCAATCACTAGCAGGATTGAGGACAGGTTGACTATAACAACAGGTATGTACACCTGACTTCAACCGCGCACACAACCGCTCCTGTACCAGGTAGGTCCACAACGGGCTCACCATAGCCCGTGCTACTTGGAACTTCTGTTCCCAGTAGCTGAATCTAAAACAACAACAACGGTGCTTTCTCCTCATAGTCCCCTTACCCTCCTTCCTAAACACACACACACACACACACGCACGCACGCACGCACACACACACACACACACACACACACCACACACACACACACACGCACGCACGCACACACACACACACACACACACACACATACACACACGCACCCAGGAGCCTGTACCACCTGTTGATTGACGATTGAGAGGCGGACCAAAGAGCCAGAGCTCAGCCCCCGCAAGCACAATTACGTAAGTACACACACACACACACACACACACACACACACACACACACACACACACACACACACACACACACACACACACACACACACACACACACACACACACACACACACGCCAGAAACTATCTCGGTAGGTACACAAAATATAAGAATACGAACATTTCACTACGGGGGGGGGGGGGGCTATTCTGCATAACTTTCAATCCGAGGGATACCTGGCCGAGC